ATATCATGAATGTCATCTCTGTACGGTTTGCAAGCATAATAAAAAATAAAAATAAACACGTACGGAGTCACGCCGCAGCCGGACACGTGAGCGGAGCTGCCGGTGTACTGGACGTCACAGCGCACGATGTTGTTGCTGAAGTCTGACTCGGACACCTGGAAGCCTGGGTTCACTGTAACCTGGAATAAAAACATCAAACCCTCTTACAAGTCAAGTCGAGTCGCCTTCATTTATACAGCGCTTTAACAATATAGATTGTTTTGAAAACGTGATCATCTCCGTGTAAACTTCGAAAACGTGAATCTGAAAACGCTGACGGCGTGCACATGCATTTTAGGTGTTTAGTCTATAGGTGTGCGCGTTTTAATATATGTGCAAATGCTGTGTTTTGACCAGCTGGAGTTTGTTTATTAAGCGTGCAGGGCAACCACCCAGTAGAGCATTACAGTAATCTAACCTTGAGCTCATGAACGCATGGACTAACTGTTCCGCATTTGTCATTGAGAGCATATGACGGAATTTACTAAATGTATTCAGACTCCTTCAACATTTCTCACATTATCAGTTTATTCGCTGTAGTTGGTAATAAAATCTGAGCAGAACTCAGTGGATATTTGACTGGTTTTGTCCGTCCTTCTGTTAGACTCTCACACATGAATTATGTTGAATATCTGTCAGCTGTTAAATTGAACTCCACAATTAGATAATACCAGTTTAGCTCAACCAGTGACCAAGCAATGCTTCATGTTGTTCAGTGTGTGTGTAAAAAGAGCATTAGCAATTACAGAAAACACACTTCAGCAAAACATGATCAGCTCAAAGTGGAGGAATCATTGTTACTGGTAGTCACTGGATGAAGAATATTTGGGTGTAATATGTCAGTTTACTTTATTCTGCTCTCCTCACTTACAGAAATGAACTATAGTGTCCTGCAAAATTTATATCTGGTCTGAATCATTTTTGGTTTGGCTGTATGTGCGAATGCTGCGTTTTGACCAGCTGGAGTTTGTTTATTAAGCGTGCAGGGCAACCACCCAGTAGAGCATTACAGTAATCTAGCCTTGAGCTCATGAACGCATGAACTGACTGTTCCGCATTCGTCATTGAGAGCATATGGCGTAATTTAGATGATGTTTTATTAACAAAGTGCAGAGAGCACTTTCAAATAATTAACCTAAATGATTTCAAGAGGAGTGCACTCAGTTAATCAAATAGTTACCAAAATAAGAGATATACAGCAGACTAACGTCTGTTCATCGATAGTTTAACAGCATCGCTCCACCACCCCGTCTCCTCACTTCTAGTCCTAATATTCTTACAACAACCGGGGAGAGTACTCTGGGTCCGGGAGCTCGGAGCCCGCCAAATACGCATAACCTTTACTCCACTTAATTACATGTGAGTGTGAACTCGTCAAAACAGCAGCAATCCTTAAAGGGATACTCCACCCAAAAATGAAAATTCTGTCATCCTTTACTCACCCTCAAGTTGTTGCAACCCTGTATGAGTTTCTTTCTTCTGCTGAACACAAAGGAAGATATTTTGAAGAACGATTGGAACCAAATAGTTGTTTGGCACCATTGACTTCCATTGTAGAAAAAAACAATACTATGGAAGTCAATGGTGCCAAAGTTCCAATCGTTCTTCAACATATCTCAGAAACTCATACAGATTTGCAACAACTTGAGGGTGAGTAAACGAATTTTCATTTTTGGGTGGAGTATCCCTTTAAGAGAAGCGTGAAGGTTTCTGACCTTGAGGACGTATCGTCCGGGCTGGACGTCTGTGATGTCGATCCACTGGCAGTCGATGTCGGCGCTGTAGGTGTCGTAGCATCCAGGACTCAACCCCTGCAGCGAGAGACGAGATCATGAAGCTGTGTGTCGCCCGTGCTGAGTGAGCGGAGGCGGGGGGAACGCACCTGTGTGTGGGACGTGCAGGCGTAGCGGCGGTAGTACCCGGGGTCGCAGGACGTGTCCTCCAGACAGAAGCTGGCTTTATGGCCCTCGGCGACCCTGTGCTGAGTGCTGGAGTCCAGCAGGTCGTAATGGCAGAACTCGTTCATGCTGTGATAGTGACTGAAACACACATCATACAATTGTTATTCTGTTTTCCAGCAGCTTCATTTGAAACCACATCAAAGAAATGTTGTTTTCTGTCGTTTAGGGCTGGTGTAACAAACATATCGTTATATTGTAGCAAGTCTAAAGACTGTTTTATGTTCTATATCAGGTGTGTTCTAGCGGTGCATGAACGTTCTTCCATGTGTTATGTGCTTTGTTTGTGTGGGGCCTTAAAGGGATAGTTCACCCCAAAATGAAAACTCTGTCAGTAATGACTCTCCCTCATGTTGGTCAACCCCGTAAGACTTTCGTTCATCTTCGGGACACAAATTAAGATATTTTTGATTAAATCTGAGAGCTGGATCACTCCTCCATAGGCTTCTAAGGGATTGAAACTGGCCGGCCCAGAAAGTTATTAAAGACATCGTTAAAATAGTCAGAGTAGTTATGTGTGGGCGGGGCAGTTATGTGTGGGCGGGGCAGTTATGTGTGGGCTGGGCAGTTATGTGTGGGCGGGGCAGTTATGTGTGGGCAGGGCAGTTATGTGGGGGCGGGGCAGTTATATGTGGGCAGGGCAGTTATGTGTGGGCGGGGCAGTTATGTGTGGGCGGGGCAGTTATGTGTGGGCAGGGCAGTTATGTGGGGGCGGGGCAGTTATATGTGGGCAGGGCAGTTATGTGTGGACGGGGCAGTTATGTGTGGGCTGGGCAGTTATGTGTGGGCGGGGCAGTTATGTGTGGGCAGGGCAGTTATGTGGGGGCGGGGCAGTTATATGTGGGCGGGGCAGTTATGTGTGGGCGGGGCAGTTATGTGGGGGCGGGGCAGTTATGTGTGGGCAGGGCAGTTATGTGTGGGCGGGGCAGTTATATGTGGGCAGGGCAGTTATGTGTGGGCAGGGCAGTTATGTGTGGGCAGGGCAGTTATGTGTGAGCAGGGCAGTTATATGTGGGCGGGGCAGTTATGTGTGGGCGGGGCAGTTATGTGGGGGCAGGGCAGTTATATGTGGGCGGGGCAGTTATGTGTGGGCGGGGCAGTTATGTGGGGGCAGGGCAGTTATGTGTGGGCGGGATCTGGGGTAAAAGTTCCAGAAGTTTGAGGGTCGCTGTGAGGCAAGTGCATCGGGCACACTGGTGCTCACGGTAATAAAGCAGCATTAAAAACATTAAGTGAGTTTGTCATTTTCTCCGTTCGCTACAATATAAATGTACTTTAAAGCATTACTTCACCCAAAAATTATCCCATGATGTACTCGTCCTCAAGCCATTCTCGGTATATATGATTTTTTTTCTTTCAGCCGAACAATCTAATATCCTGGCTCCTCCCAGCTTATTAATAATGGGAGTGAATGGGACCTGAGATTTTGAAGCCCAAAAAAGTGCATCCATCCATCATAACAGTAATCCACACGGCTCCAGAAATATCCATATTTATAACTTTATAAACTATAATCACAAGTCGAGTTCTTGTGGAAGGGTGACCTTTGACCCGACGCATGACCTCTGACCCGACGCATGACCTCTGACCAGACGCATGACCTCTGACCCGACACATTATCTCTGACCCGACGCATGACCTCTGACCCGACGCATGACCTCTGACCCGAAGCATGACCTCTGACCCGACGCATGACCTCTGACCCGACGCATGACCTCTGACCCGACACATGATCTCTGACCCGACGCATGACCTCTGACCCGAAGCATGACCTCTGACCAGACGCATGACCTCTGACCCGACGCATGACCTCTGACCCGACGCATGACCTCTGACCCGACACATGATCTCTGACCCGACGCATGACCTCTGACCCGACGCATGACCTCTGACCCGAAGCATGACCTCTGACTCGACGCATGACCTCTGACCCGACGCATGACCTCTAAACGGGAGCATTACCTCTGACCCAACGCATGACCTCTGACCCGACACATGATCTCTGACCCGACGCATGACCTCTGACCCGACGCATGACCTCTGACCCGAAGCATGACCTCTGACCCGACGCATGACCTCTGACCCGACACATGACAAGTGACCTCAAAAGCTGGGAAGAGCCAGGATATTTTTTAATATAACTCCGACATCGTTGGCTGAATAAGAAGGTTATACACACCTAGAACGGCTCGAGGGCGAGTACATCACGGGGTTAGCTAACCCTTTAGCATCACCATCGTGTGTCTTCATCAGTTATTAGTTATTAGTTATTGTTGTCTGTGTTGTCCTCACTTGTGGCAGCTGTGCCATTCCCAGGCGTGTCTCGGCCTGCTGGGAAGGAAGTCTGCGGTTCCCTGGTTCTTCACGCGCTGGGGGAACCTCAGCAGAACCCTGGTGTCGTAGTCTCGTGCGTTTGCTGCCGAACTGAGGAACACAGGAGGAGGTTTTCTGACTTCTGAAGTTTGACACTTTTAATATCAGGTTCTTCAACCGTTCTTGAGTTCAGCAGAGAAACCAGAGAAGAGTTCTGTTGCTGTAAATTATTGAGTGACTATAAGGTTATGTACAGATTAAAAAAGATTGATGTGTCATTATCGATTCTTTAGACAAGGTAACGTTATTCCTTAAAACATTTCCTAAAGAACTAGAGAATAATGAATAGAATAGAGCAACTCGTTCTGGTTCTACTTCACATGGTAAATAAACAGCATGTGGTTTTAAGCACACTGCCATAATGTCTCTGTCTTGAGGTTTTCCATCAATGCCACAGAAGTTTTTTTTCTTAATGTGAAGAACATTTAATAATCTAAAGCACATTTGATTCCATGGATGTTCGAGGTTCTTCATGGAACCATTGATGCTGATAAAGAAGCTTTATTTTTAAGAGTGCATCATCATCATCATCATTAATGATTATAATTAGACCTCGCCAGGCAGTTCTCCTCCGCAGCGCATCTGAGGTTGTACATCGGCACTCTCTGGACGTACGTGGAGACCTGGATCATGTAGGGGTCGACCACCAGATCCGGGAGACCTGCGGAGAATCCAGTCCAGTCAGCTTTATTTCTACAGCGCTGTTACAGCAGAGAGAGTCCGAGCAGCTTTACTGAGAGAACAGGACAATAATGCAGCACAGTGTGTCCAGAAGAGAAGAGCGTCTCAGTCCAGCTTAAGTCAGTTCAGTGATGCTTCATTTTGTTGTTTAATAGTTATTAATTTAGTTCATTTATATTTATATATATAGCCACTCTGGAGTAAACCGTGATGTCATCGTCCAGTTCAGTTCAGTTCTTGTATAATAGTGTCAATGCAGGAGATCAATAATATTGTTGAATATTAAATTAAATGTCCCCAACTAAAGCAAGACAAAAGCCAATGGCGACAGTGGCAAGACATAGATATGTGTGTGTGTGTGTGTGTGTGTGTGAGAGAGAGAGAGAGAGAGAGAGAGAGAGAGAGAGAGAGAGAGAGAGAGAGAGAGAGAGAGAGAGAGAGAGAGAGTGTGTGTGTGTGTGTGTGTGTGTGTGTGTGTGTGTGTGTGTGTGTGTGTGAGAGAGAGACAGAGAGAGAGTGTGTGTGTGTGTGTGAGAGAGAGAGAGAGAGAGAGAGAGAGAGAGAGAGAGAGAGAGAGAGAGAGAGAGTGTGTGTGTGTGTGAGAGAGACAGAGAGAGAGTGTGTGTGTGTGTGTGTGTTAGAGTTAAAAGTTAGAGTATAAAATGCAGCAAGTATAAAAACATCAGAGATACTTATTTCACACAAATATCACAGATTTTACCTCAATTCCAACAAGCGAACCTCATAAACAAACTGTTATATTTTGGGAGAGAAAGAAGAGTGTATTCTCCTGGCAGCACAGTGTGTGTGTGTGTGTGTGTGTGTGTGTGTGTGTCCTCCTGCCATCAGAGACAAGGGCTGAACCCTCTATTTCCCTTAAACTGCTCTGTACTTATTTTTATTTATTTTTATTGTGATGTATCTATATGTATAATGTGGAAATGTTTTTTTTTTTCACTTTTATTTATCTACGTATATGTTTGTATATGTCTATTGCTCTGGCAATATTGTGCATTTTTACACAGTCATGCCAATAAAGCTCATTTGAATTGAACTGAGAGAGAGAGAGAGAGAGAGAGAGAGAGAGAGAGAGAGAGAGAGAGAGAGAGAGAGAGAGAGAGAGAGAGAGAGAGAGAGAGAGAGAGAGAGAGAGAGAGAGAGAATGTTTTTGTTCTAACATTTTGAGAACATTATTAAAGACCAGAAAACTTTGAACGAACGTTCTATTAACGTCACCGGATGAACGTTTGATCACAGCTCTGAGAGAACCTTGGCAGAACGTTCTCTGCTGTTGTTCTGGTTCTTACCGTTCTGGAAGTATCTGGTTCCGTACCCGTGATGCCTCTGCGCGCTCCTCTGTCTGGGTCGGTAGTACGAGTCGTAGTAGTTGTAGTACGGGTTGTAGGGACTGTTCCTGATGGATTTGTAGGGATCGTACGGATCATCGGACATCATCCCTTCATCACCGGAGCTCGTGCTCGCGTTCCTCCCGTTCCTGACCCCGGTCTCCGGTGGAGCGGCGCGTTCCCGCGGCACATACTCGGACCCGCGGCTCATCAGATTAAACACGCGCCCGTTATTCGTCCATCGCGTCCGCGCGCGCAGTGCACCGGCCTGTTGCGCGCGAGCCGCCGCTCTCGATCCGGCGTTCAGCTGAGAGAAAACTGTCGGAACGCAACTACAAACACACATGAACAGCAGAACGAGACTCCCGCGCTCCATAATACACGCTAAACCAGCGGTGTGTGTGCGAGAAAGCGCGCGTGGCCGTCTGAAGCTCAGCGCGCGAGGATGAGGATGATGAGGAGGAGCTGATGCGCGTGCATCTGCTCAGTGTCAGAGTTACACAACGAACATCATCAGCTCTACACACAGATCTCACAACAACTGCATTACATCAGCACAATAATGCGAACCATAGAGCTCAGGAAAGATCAGTTCAATGCAATGAGTTATTATTATAGTAAAGTTAGAGATGATCGTTTACCATGTTCTTCCAAACCAAAAGATATTTTGAGAAAAGTCTTTTTCGGTTTATACAGTGAAAGTCCATGACTTTTGTTCATTTTTTGGGGGGGATTTGTAAACATAATTTGTAAATGTTGCTGATTCAGCCAATTAGAAACTAGAATCAGATATATTTAGAGGGTCTTTATGTTTACATGTGTTTTTATCATTAACTTTCACACATATTAGAATAAAAAAATAATGAATTGTCACTTTGGGAGCAGAAGAAACACACGGTCATTCATTCGCCGTGTTACACACTCCTGGGTTATTATTTCTTCCCAGATCCTGGGTTGTGACTTTCGGGTAAAGTTTAGGGTTGTTTTCTCAGTGTTTGGGTAGTTTCTATGTTACCCAGCTCCTGGGTCAGGCGTAACAACCCAATGTTTGGGTAGTTTTTTGTGTACACTTTAATTACTTATACATGTCAAATTAATAAATT